CCCAGCCCAACCTAAAAGGAAGCGGACAGCGGGGCACTCACATCTTGCATGGCCCGCGTGCGGTGATCAGAATTGATCTGGTCCCGGAGCTGGAGAAAGGCAAACAGATGCTGTTAGTTTGAGTTCGGGGGTTGGAAAGGCCACCCGAAGGACGAGTTTATTGGTTTAGGTCTCAGGAGCTGAAGCAGAGGGACTGCTGGGGCCTCGGAGGATGTTACCGAGGCCAGAGCGCAGAGGCAGCCCAGGAGGAAGGCGAAGATGGGGCGCGGGGAGGGTCTAAGGCCGAAGAAAGCGCTCAGGGGCTCCGGATGCGTTCCCGACCACGGTCCACTCACCGTGGACTTCTTAGTGAGCATCTCTTTGGCCATGACATCCATGAGCCGTTCTTTCTCCTCATGATAGCGCCGTTGCTGCTCCAAAATTGTTTCCATTTTCCCTTCGCCGCGGCGCTTCAATTCAGACGACCAACACGGCCGGAAGCAGCGCCTGCCGCCTTGTGCGCCTCCGTCTCTCTCTCAACGCGCTGCATCCGGCTGCACCAAAGTTCCGTGAGTTCCGGAAGTGCCTTGGGGGACCTCAAAAAATGAACACCACACGGAGAGCAAGTCCTTGCTGTCGGTACCACTGCCCCCCGCTGGCTGGAGGTGTGGAGGAGCGATGCTCAGCGACTGAATGCCTGCAAAAATGCTGTAGGCGGAGGGTGAGAGGCAACTGCTGCCTGGGGCTCTCTGTGGCCAGCTGGGCCGGCAAGACTCACTGATGTGGACCGGGATTGAGAAGTTGAAGGATACAAGAAGGGAAAGAGGAACTGGAATCTCTAGTTTCAGGGTGTGACCGCTGGTGTTTTCTCCTTGTCTGGACTTTAGTATCTGTCAGTAAAGTGAGGAGGTGGTTTTGTTCTTAACTCCTATGTGGAAATAACCTTTATCAGCAGAGGGCTCTTTAAGTAAAATGTGGTATATTCAAGCAATGAAATGCTTGCTATTCAGTACAGGGTTACCTCTGATTCTCCGTATCCTTAATTCTTCTGCCTCTGCCTACCATGTGCTGGCTGTACGGCTTAGAAAATGAGATCTAGGCTGCCTTTCTTTAAAGGAGGAGGAAGAGGAAGAAGCAAAAAAGATTAACAGCGCTCCAGAGGCAGAGGCAGACAGATCTCTGTGAGTTCTAAGCCAGCCTGGTCTACATAGTGAGTTACAGAACAGCCAGGGCTACATGGAGAGACTGGGACTCAGGAAACAAACACACAGATTAGGACTTGAGATCTGAATCAGTATAAAGAGCTTGTCCAGCATGCACTGAGAACAGAGTTGGAGCCAAGTAGAGTGGCTCACACCTGTAATTCTAATATTTGGGAGACTGAGGCAGGAAGGGAGCAAGTTCAAGCTCAGCCTGCCCTTTGTAGTAAGAGAGCATCTCAAAACAATAAACAAACACCAGGTGGTGGTGGTAAAAGCCCTTAATTCTGCCACTAGGGAGGCAGAGGCAAGTGGATCTCTGAGTTGGAGACCAGTCTGGACTACAGAGCAAGTTCCAGGACAGCCAGAGCTACACAGAGAAACCCTGTCTTGAAAAACCAGGAACAAAACAAAACAAAAAAAACAACAGAAACAGTGTTCACATGAAATGTTTGGATCAGCAAATCCATGGAGACAAAGGGAAGATGAGAGAAGGGTTGGTTGGGATAAGAAGTGACTTAAAAAGAGCAGAAGGAATGAATCCTTTTGAGGGTGGCAATATTTGTACAATTCTATCAACTTTGCTAAAATGAAATCGAGTTGTAGCACTTAAAGTGAATGGTAATTATAACCTCAATAAATCTCCTATTTAAAAACATCTGGGGGAGCCGGGCGTTGGTGGCACATGCCTTTAATCCCAGCACTCGGGAGGCAGAGGCAGGCGGATCTCTGTGAGTTCGAGTCCAGCCTGGTCTCCAGAGCGAGTGCCAGGACAGGCTCCAAAGCTACACAGAGAAACTCTGTCTCGAAAAACAAACAAACAAAAAAAACAAAACAAAACAAAAACAACAACAACAACAAAAAAAACATCTGGGGGGCTGGAAAGATTGATCAGCACTTAAGAGTACTGCTTGCAGCCAGGCGGTGGTGGCACATACCTTTAATCCCAGCACTCAGGAGGCAGAGGCAGGCGGATCTCTGTGAGTTCGAGACCAGCCTGGTCTACAAGAGCTAGTTCCAGGACAGCCTCCAAAGCCACAGAGGAAACCCTGTCTCAACACCCCCCTCAAAAAACTCCCCAAAATCAACAACAAAAAATCAGGAGGATGGTTAGGACTTGCTGAATTCTAGGCTACTACGGCCTTATGCTTTATTAAAAAAAGAAAAAGTGCACTATCATTAAAAAAAATTCCCCAGTTCCTTGAAATTTTTCTTTATTTATACTCAAGATACAGCATCCCTCCTTCTTTGTCTTTAATGTACATACACTTTTCTTTTTCTTTTCTTTTCTTTTTTGGTTTTTTGAGACAGGGTCCTTGGCTAGTCCCAAATTCACTATGTAGCCAAAGATTATCCTGAACTTCTGCCCGCACCCAAGTGCTGGGATAATAGGCATGTGCCAAGCAGGTGTTACTATGTTAGTTTCTTCTTTTTTTAATTTGTATTTTATGTACATTGATATTTTGCCTGCATGTATGTCTGCGTGAGGGTGTTGGATCCCCTGGAACAGGAGTTATAGACAGTTGTGAGCTGCCATGTGGGTGGTGGGAATTGAACTTGTATCCTCTGGAAGAGCAGTCAGCCAGTGCTCTTAACTGCTGAGCCATCTCTCTAGCCCACTATGTTAGTTTCAAAATAAATTAAGCTTGAGATGTTGAATCTGAACAGTGTTCATACTGAGATAAACGAAACCATTTACAACTCTCTTTCTCTGAGATGAGCCGGGGACCTCAGCCCTGCCGTTCTCACTCTGCCTCAGGTCTGCCGCCTCCCTTAAATGCTACTGTCCACACACACTCACTACACACTGCTTCCAAACCAGTCACTAGGCCCCACCTTCCCCCTTGCCACTGCCATACCTCTCATGATAGTTCCTGGCCCACTGCACCAGTGTTCTGATCAGCCTGCTCATTTTACTGCTAATCCATTATTCAGACACAGCCAGAATGATCTTTCTCAAACTGACCCTCCAATGCCCCCGCTTCAACATTTCCAAGGGCTGCTCACCAGTAGGGTGAGGTCTGTTTAAGTTGGCACCTGACTTTTGACTACCCCGGCTCTGCCTGCCATATTAGTGGCTTGGCACTCCCTCTGTAATGAATTACTTATGCTTCCCCAAACCAGCGCATGTCTTTAGGCCTCTGGGTCTTTCCCCAGCTATTCTCTATGCTTAGACTGCTATGCCTCAACAAGTGTTTATTGAACTTTTAGCAAGGCTTCGAGTGCAGGAAGCTGAGAAGGCAGGTGCGTAAGAACAGCAGTTCTCTGGTCGTGGGAGAATGCCGGGAAAATGTAGACCTACAGCTGTTATAAGCATGTATGGTGAGCATTCATAAAAGTTTGTTGAAAATGTTGGGCTGGCAGTATGGCTCTGGTGATGTTGGCATGATTGCACTGAAGGGTGCTGGCTATCAAGCCACCTGAGTCGTTTTTTTTCCTTTTTTTTTTTTTTCGAGACAGGGTTTCTCTGCAGCTTTGGAGCCTATCCTAGCACTCGCTCTGTTGACCAGGCTGGCCTCGAACTCACAGAGATCCGCCTGCCTCTGCCTCCCGAGTGCAGCGCCACCTGAGTCTTAAGTTCCCCCACATGGTGGAGAGAACTGACTCCCATAAGTTGTCCTCTGACCTCTACTTTGTGCCATGGCAAGCAAAAATAATAAAAAAGGCCAACTACAAACGGGACGATGGTGACACACTCCTTTAATCCCAGCACTCTGGAGCAGAGGCAGATGGATATCTGAGTTCCAGCCTGGCCTGAGGGAGATCCAGGTCCAGAGCTGCACAGAGAAACTCTTGTTGGGGGTGGGGGGAATACAAAAGGATCCTCCGAGTGGCTAGGGGTTGGCTCACTCTACCTCTCTGAAGGCTGAGACAAGATAATCAGCCCGGGCTATACTATACAGTAAGAACCTGTTCCTCCTTCCCTCCTCACCCAGTAAAATCCAACCACTGCCAGTACAAAGATTTAATCTTGATCTTCAGGTTTCTTGTCTTTGCGACTTTAGGCAGATGACCCGGGAGTCTGCATCTCTGAGAAACCGCAGTAAGGCCGGCTTAGAGTTAGGGAGTAGTATTTCTTGAGATACTACACTCTCACTGTTTCCTCTTGGCACCTCCCCTCTACCCCCGAGTCTCCGCCTCCAGAGGCTGCTGTAGCCACCGGGGTGCGTACCTGCCGCCACAGTCCCACCGCGGAGACCGCGGCCAGGGGCCAAGCCCAGACGACTTAGGCGTCCAGCGGTAGAGTGCTCCACCCCATCGCCCCACTCCAGGGGACAGCCCCTCCGGCGGCTCCCTCCCCCCCCCGCCAGTGAATCACGAGAGGCGGGGCCATGACCCATTCATGCTGGGAATCGGATCCAGATGTTCCCCGGCGCGTGCAGCTGCATCCTTGCCTTTTTTGGCAAAAAAACGTGCGGCCGTGAGCGGATCCTGAGCCACCCCCACTAATCCTTGGGTAGAGGGGGAAGGGGGTTGAGGGTCTGGGCCCAACTGGGGATCAGAACTCCGTGCTTGTATGTCGGGTTGGGGCAGGGTTGTTGGGGGCGGGGGAAGATGTGTACCAGACCAAGAAACCCACTGCCATCCGGCTCTGTTTGGCACTTCTCCCAATCCCTCCCTCCCTCCCTCCCTTCCAGAGGAAAAAGCCCTCCGCCAGCAGTGGGGAGGCTGGCCAAGCTAGAGGGACTAGTGTGGCTGCCAAAGGGGATCCTCTTCCTGGGGCGAGAATCCCTACCCCAAGGCCCGCCCACTAGGAGGTTTACAAAAACCTGACTCAGCCAAGGAACCTTCCTTCACCCTCCCGACAAATACACGGGGGCCTGTGCTCCCTCACACTGTTTTATTGCAGAATCTGGAAGTGGGGTAAGCCACCCCCCCTGCCTATCTCTGGGCAACATGGAGCTGAAATAAAGTGGTACTCATAGACGGACAGCACCCTGTACCTTATGACTCTCCAACCAGGCAGCCCCTAATCTGCTATCCAGGCAGCTGCATCGCGGAAAAGGGTGGGATGGGGATGGGGTCAAACTGGGGTGCAATCTATCTTTGAGGACTTCTCAGGCACCCATAGGAAACCTAAAAATCTATCCAGTAAGTCTAGATTTAAGGAGGCCTACGTCCCAGAGTTCAGGTTTGGGGAGGATGTGGGTGTGTGTGTCTAGAGCCTTGATCTAGGGAAGACTCATTTCTGGAGTCCAGACTTGAAGAACTTAAGTTGATGGGTGTCCCACAAGAGCCCAGATTTGGGGCCTGGGTCAGAGAGTACCAGCTGGGTATGCTGGAATTAGGAGACTGAACCCTGAAGCCTCTGCACTACACAGGGGCAGGTGGAGGCCATTCTAAGGAGGGGCTGGGTTCCAAAAGTGGTTCAGAAAAAGAGCCAAAGTCTTGAACCCTTGGTTTGGGAAAGGGGAAGAGTCAGGAGCCTTGGCTCAGGGCCCTGCTTGGCTGCAGCCCTGGCACAGAACTTGGTCTCCGTCTGGTACGAAGCCTTGGCCCACCAGGGAGGTGGAGCAGCGGGCACAGGAGAAGCAGCTGTGGTGCCAATGCCGGTCTTCGAAGGACACATACTTGCCTCCTCCTGGAGGAGAGGTGGAGGTTAGTTTTGCAGACTGGTGGCGCTGCTGCCCCTCAGCCTCACCCAGGATCACAGCCATACTCTTACCTGCAGCCTCGCCACTGCTCCCACCTGTGATGGGGCGCTTGCAGCTGCTGCACTTGGGTGCAAAGAGTTCTCCAAAACAGGCCACACAGTAGGGATCATCATCCCGAGATGTGAACTGCTGTCCTGCAAGGGGGGTCTTGCACCCAGTGCAGACCAGGCATTCTCGATGCCAGGGTTGGTCTCGATATGTCACTCCACCCTGGGTCAGCGTCTGTGGGGGCATCACCCATCAGCAGGGGAGTGAGTATTCCCACCCACAACAGGTCTTACCCTGAATTCACAGGCCCAGCCCCCACCTTGCTGCAGCGGGCACACCGAGGAGCAAACTTGTTCTCATAGCAAGGCACGCAGTAGTGAGCGCCCTTGTCAGGCACGAAGGAACGGGAGCCTAGAGGCTGTTCACACCCACTGCATAAGAAGCAATGTTCATGCCATGTCTGGCCTCCATACTCCAGCTTCCGGGACCCTGTGGGAAACAGGAATCCCACTTAGAGTCTTTGTCCCAAGTTCCCGAGGGTCACAGTCAATTCTACTCCCCAACCTATCCCTACTGCTTCTATAACCTAGTAGAGTTGTAAGACTCCCACCATCTATGTTACATATGCCAGCCTCTTTCCCCAAACTGGACATGAGGGTTCAGCACATGCTAAGCACATAGGTTAAACCTTCCATGCCCCCTCATAGGATCTTTCTTTTTTTTTTTTTTTTCTTTTGGTTTTTTTGAGACAGGGTTTCTTTGTAGCTTTGGAGCCTGTCCTGGAACTTGCTCTGCAGACCAGGCTGCTCTGGAACTCGGAGATCCGCCTGCCTCTGCCTCTGCCTCCCAAGTGCTGAGATTAAAGCTGTGTGCCACTACTACCTGTCCAGAAATACCAGTTTAACACTCAGGCAAGATCCCACTAGCCAGGCAACTCTGCTTACACAAAGCCTAATGCCCTAGGAATGACAGGTTTAGTACATGCTAAGCCTTTGCAAGTTCTAGGTATATCATTTTCTACACATGTAAGTCCTCACATACCTATGAGGTGTGCAGGACACCATACATTTTAAGCCTACAATTTGATCTCTGCACACAAAATTTCAATGCAGCAACCCTGAGAATCTCAGTATATCCTTAGCTCTTATATGAACCAAGCATGCAGGTCTTCACACATGCTAAGGCCTGTGTGTGCATCAAGTATGTCAGTGCTACGCACATAAGCCTATTGGTCTAATACACACTAAGCCTCCAGCTTGTCAGTTTTGGTATTCACCAAGCTTTTGAGTGTACAGCTGGGTGCATCAATCTGTGTGTGCATTAAGCTCTAAAGAGCATACATGCACAACAGATCCGTACATGTTCCAGGAACCTGTAGTATGCCTAGGTCTCTACCTACACCAAACCTCATGCACGTATGAGATGGGCAGACGCAAAGACCCTTCTCAGATGACAGGTCCCAAACCCAGGATGAGGCCCTGGGACATACCAGGCATGACAGTCTCCCCACAGGCAGAGCACTGTGAAGAGAAGGCTGTGCAGTAGCAGTCATTACAGAGAAGCTCACTGTCCTGGCAGGTGAAGGGCTCATCAGCGAGGGAGCGCTGGCAGCGGCAGCACCGGAAGCAGCCCTCATGGAAGTGGCGATCCTCATAGAACAGTTCCTTTGGGAGACAGAGCGGGGGCACTAGCATCTGGGCTTGGTGGATTTATCCTTGCCCCCCTCCCACCAGTCTGCACTTTACTCTCACCCATCTGGTCTGGTTCTTACCCTTGAATCATGCCCGATGAGCTGCTGGCACTCGGCACAGGTGTTGGCGAAGGTGTTGTCATAGCAGGGAACACAGTAGGGGCCACTGTCTGTCTGGATGTATTTGCGGCCGTACAAGGACTCACTGCATTTTGCACAGTCAAATGCCTCGCTCATGGTGGTGATGCTGAGTAAGCCCTGTTAGGAACACAAGATGGGGCAGAGTTCACCTAGAAGGGCTCTAGCATAGACAGGACAAGAGCTCTTTGCATTCAAAAAAAAAAAAAGAGAGGAGGCAAAGAAGAGATGAAAGCAGGTCGGGGTGGAGGGGGAGACTGTTGTGGGAACCCAAGAGTCTTAGGTTCAGTGCATGCTTGAGGATAGGAAGGGGTCAGGAAAAAATCAGGAAGCAGAAGTTGTTTTCTTATCTAGGCCCTGGCTGATCTGGGGGGAGGGGGCTTTTCCTGGGTCAGTGACTCATTTCCTGCAGCGCAGTGCAGCCTGAGGTTTGCTTCCACTCTCTGTACTGTCCCTAGGGTGCTAAAGGCCAGGACAGGGGGCCACCAACCTTACTGTATATAGACCGAACTCTCACCTCCTCATTCCCGGGATGGCCATAGGAGTTTAGATATGGGGACATTCATCTAGAGTTCTGATCTGGGGAGCTTCGGGTGGGATGGGCTGTTGTCCCACCCCCACCCCCACAACTCCCCACCGATGCAGGAAACAGCGGAATGCTAGAGAGATGCTTGACTGATGAGGGCGGTGTGAGAAGTTGGGCCTCCCCTCCCTGGAGAATCAGCCAAGCAAGCACTTAGGAGGCTCAGCCTAGGTTCAGGCAGGAAGGAAACCCTGCAAGCTGGACACAGCCAAATTTCCCCAGCTGGACCCTGGGCCTCATCCCCTACCACCTCTGCTGTGTCTCTGGTCACACCAGCCTGGGCAGTCTTGGCTGCAACATCTGCTGCAGCTGAGGCACTGCAGAGGGCCAGATGTCAGCTTTTTGCCAGCCAGAGGGAGAAAAAAAGGGGAAAACCGACATCCCTGGGGAGGCAGAAGGGAAGTGGAGACACAGAAAGAGGGCAGCACTCTGTGCCCCCCCCCCATTCCAGGTGTCTCTGCTGGTAGCTCTGCAAAGACCCAGGGTCATGATATGTCCTTGGCTTGCATCTGGACAGACAGCCTCTGCCTATTTTTTTCTGATTCCCCAGGGTTTAAGGCCAGAGAAGGAAAAGGTGAGAAAACAGGAGGCCCTGGAGCCCTAGTAAGGCTCCTTCCTGACGGGGAGTAACAGAAGGGGAGCCCAGAGAGCTGTTGCTGCAGACACCCAGCCCCCCACCAAACCTCAGACACTTTCCATTTTCTCAGGAACAAAGCATGTTTGTGGGATGAGGTCACCCACACAGCTGCCTCTGGAACAGGAGCAAGAAGAATGGGGGGGCAGGGAAATGGGGTTCCCAGTCTCTTCTGCTGGCCAATGCCAGTCTCCGGGCCCAAAGTCAGAACTCCCCAGCTCCACCCTCCTCCACTATGAAGCACATGCTCAAAGGGCTGGGTAGTGAAGAAGATTCCCCTAGGACCCACAGGAAAGAGGTGGTGTCATTGTTGCAAAGGAGACTGGGGGAAGTTAAAGGGGTGCACCAAGGAACCCCCTTATCCTAACCCCCTTCTCCATGGCTGTACTGGCTTAAGATGAAGGAAAAGGCTTTCTCAGCAAGCACAGTGGGAAATTCTCACACAACACCTTGGTCTGCCTTAGAGTTCAGACTTCAGGCAGCGACAGATGTCTCAAACCTGGAGGGCCTGCCTCTTTGCGGGCTTATGAGTTTGAACTTTCCCTTCCACAAAGTAGGAGACACCGGGTTCACACCCAAAGCAGGACACAGGCCACCAAAGCTGAAGCCTTCAGAGTGGAGCGTCCTCAGGGTACCGGTTATGCTGAAGGGTGGAGAGAGCCCTCTCCTTCTCACGCCCCTCCCTGTCATTCAGATCCTGGTTTCCTCTGGCCCAGCATCTGAGGGTTACTTGGGCTGCTAGCCACTGGACAACAGCCGGCCATACAGGTGGCCTGTGACCATGTGTTCACTGGGGAGCGCCCTAGGTCTTTTCCTTCCTTCCGGGCTTGGCCAGCAGCATCAACAGCAGCTACCTTCCCAGGCCCAGGCTAGCCCTGGATCCACCCCCTCAGAGCCAGTCACCAGGCTGAGATGAGGCACCCCAAATAGGGTATGGGCGTGCCTTCTGCTTCCTTCCCAGAATCCCCCAATCCCTTAATCTATGTTTCTAATGAGGACAGAGCAAAGGACACCACCAAGGCCCACCTGTCTCTTCCAATCCCTTTTCCTCTTCCTCCTCAGCCTCTCCCCATTCCCTCACAAGGCTGGAGGACTAAAAGGATGAGCAAGGAGCTAGTCTCCTTGCTTCCTGGCTGGTAGCAGGTAGGTTCAGAGGAGACATTGAATCTTCTAGATGACCCTCATCTGTGGTTCCCACTAATGCACATATTTCTACACACACCGGTGAGCTTCCTGGAGCTGAATGACAAGACTCCTTTCTGTATGGTGTTCAGTGTGTAGAAGTTCGGTTCAGTCATAAAATATAAACCTGACTTGAGGATCCTGTGACCTTGGGTACATACTTTTCATGCCCTGAGATCGTTAGTCCATCTAGTTAAATGAGATAACATTACCCCCCCTCTCCCAGCACGGCTGTCAGGCTAGGAGAGGGAGGGCAGGAACATTACCCCCCCTCTCCCAGCACGGCTGTCAGGCTAGGAGAGGGAGGGGGGTAATGATAATCCCTGTAAAGCATCTAGCAGATAATAAGTCCAGGTAAATGGTAGCCACGCTTATTGTTCACTACAACCCCTCACTCCTATTGGAGCCAGACAGTGGGTCTCAGGCAGAGCTGAGGCAGGAGCTGACCTGGGATGTGACTGGGAGAGGCTCAGTGAAGTCTAAGCCTAGGATCTAGCTGAGGGAACCACTGGGGTTCACTGGAGCCCAGTCAGCTGGACACACCAGGGAGAGAAACCCTATAGATCTTACAGATGGGTAGTTGAGAGGTGTTCACACTTGTATGACACCTTGTCATTCACAAAATATATAGTTTACCACCACTGCATCACATCTCACAAAGGCAGGCAGGACAGGAAATATCATTTCCTCTTTAGAATTCAGCACAAGATACCAAGGGCAGGCAGGCTGGAGGCATGGATGGCCAAGGCTGCTCAGGACCTGGAGCAGAAGTGTCCTGGCCCCCAGCAAGTAACTCTGCCTAGAAATGCTTTGGTAGTGGTGGAAGGGGCAGTCAGTCAGCCTTTTAGGGTGGTGGGGGTGGGGTGGGGGAACGGATGGACTCGACAGACTGACGGACATGACATAGATGGACAGGAGATACACTAGAGCTGGCTCTTCTCCCCAGCCGCCAATCCTGCCATTGGAAGACACCCAGAAGTCTTTCCAATTACCCATGCCAACTGCTCAACCCTTTCACATACCCCCAAAGTCCAGGAGGACCCTGACCAGGCCCCGCAGCTGTGAGTCAGAATGAGAGCAGACCCCCTCCCCCTTGACAGGAGACTTAAGGGGAGAAACTAATACCACCCTCTACTCCCCCCACCCGGCAACCAGGCACCAACCCCAAACTCTCTCCCGCCCCTCTTCCCCACAGGGCCTGGAAGTCAAAGCAGTTTAGGAAAAAAAGGGGGTGGTGGTGGTAGGGAGCAGATCCAGCAGCTGCTCTGAGGACAGGAGAGGAACATTTCATTCACCCCCGAGTCCCCCAGGGCTGAAGCAGAGCGTCCAAGATTTGAGTTTAAAAATAAATTGGCGCTGTCTTAGTGGCTGTGTGTACATGGGGCTCTTTCTTGAGCTCAGCTTTACAGCCTCAGGTCCTCTGTCTCCTGGGGGATGGGCTGGCTGGGAGTCAATTTCCCCCAAGCTTTGCCTCTACCTTTTCAGGCCTGGGGCGGCTGTCAGTGCGTGCACCTAGGAGTCTCTCTTCCGCGAACTCTAGCCCTCACTTCTCAGCACCCTTGGGCTGCGGTCTTTGTGTTTGGATGGGGGTGTCCCTGTATCTCTGGAGCTGTGTCCCAGCGGGCCCACTCTGGGGAATCTCTATCCCTCTGCGGCCAAGTCTTGGTCTCTCCGTGTCTCAGACTCTGAAAAGTCACTTTAGGCCTCAGGGAGGCAGATTTAGCACTAGTCTAACAAGCTTCAGCCTCAGGGCCCTCCAAGGCCCTGGGAAGGGCGCTAGCAATGAGTTCCCTGGGGTCATACATTTGCTTCTTAAAATGCTCCATAGAACCCGGGTCCCCGCAGTGTCTCCAGAACTTTGTCGGTCCATTCTCTGCACTAGTTTGAATGGTTCCTGTAGCCTCCTGGGGCGTGCGTCCTTGTCTGTTCTACCAGGCTTCCTAAGAGCCTCAGTTTCTCCAACCCTCCTGATCTCTCTAGTTTTTCTAGTTCAAATTTGGTCCCCTCCCCCTGCAACTCTGGCGGTCCCCTCCCGGCCCGGAGGCGGTGAGGTCCGTGCTGGTGCGCGTGGTCCCAAGCTCTGGGTACTTGGAGGTGTCCCAGTAGGAGACAGTGGCGGGGGCTCCCGGGAGCACCCCGGCACGAGCGCAGCGCGCGGGTACTAGGGCTGGAAGACGGGGCG